CTTAAATGATACCGTAGGGAAAAAAAATTGCCTGAGTAGTTTGACAAGTGAGTGGTTTATCTCCACAGCCAAAAAAGATCTGCCAGTGGTTTGGCTTTCAAGATGGGGGTTTTTTCTCGTGTGTCACACTGTGACAATAGTGGAACCCACTTGGGAGGATGACCCATTTAATAGTAATGGCAAAAATGTGAAGAGCAGCACCTGGAAAATTTTGGGATTATAGAACAGGTGCATATGAGGCACATGTGCACTCTGTCAGTCATCACACATGTACGGAATTTGAGCAGTATAGAGAAGGGAGAGATGTGAGACTGTCTAATGTGTTGGTAAGAAAAGCAGCTGAATTCTTTGGTGCTTGTGCTTGCCTGACGTTGTGCCTGATTTGTTCAGGTGAAAAACTCAAAAACAACAGTGACTGGTTGATTTGATTTCCCAGATGCAGTGAAAGGAGGTATCAAAGCCAGGTAATGCTGAGTGCTCTTGTCCTAGTAGGTGTCTTGGTAGGCTCAGATTTGTTAGTGATTATTACAGGTCTCTGTGTATTCCAGAGACATTAAAAATAAACCAGTAAAGTAAATTGGAGTTAAACTCTCTACTTCCAAAGCCCTTCTTAGGCCTGATAATGACTCTGTTAAGTGACAGTGACTAGACCTCAAGACAAAAGCAAAGATGTTTAGAATCAACCTGTCACTGTTAGTGCAACCTGTTGCACCTTCACCCAGGCCATGGGCTTTGTCAGGAGCCTGATTGTGTGAAAGCCTTTTCTATTCCTCAGAGTAAGATTCCCTGTTTTGAGACGAGTGGCCTGGCAGGGAGAAGCATCCATTCGAAACAGAACAGCCACACCTTCTCCAGCACAGTGGGTGGGAAATCAGCAAACTTTAGTGGGGAATGGACAACACTTTGTCTTCACTGATTTTCATCTTCTGCCCTAGTATGAATGTTGTTCTGAGGGGTTTTTTTCATGCAGAGGTTGTTACTTCATTGCCTGTGTATTTGCAAAGCAGCAGGTCGCATAGAACTTCTCTTGTATTTTCTATTGGGGGGAATCATGATTCTCATGGTTCAGAGTTTATTTTTTGTGTGTGATTAGAAGATGTTTGTGGATTGAGTTTGTATTTTGCAAAAGAATGATTTCTTTATCTAGTTCAAGGAGCTCTGTAAAAATCATGCAAGAGTCAAAGTCTTTGCCTGAAGGTGCCAGCATTTGTTACGGTGTACCAAAAAAAGAATGACATGAAAGCAGATGCACCACCTGCCGATAAAAGCAGAATTCCCGTGTGTGTGGTTTTTAGCATTTAGAAGTTTGTATAAAAAATACTCTCACTGAGTATTTTACAGTGATGGGTGGGAGAAAGGTGTATGTGTTGAAGAGGAACATGAAAGGGCAGGTGGGGATGGATTCCAGCTTTGATGGATGGCACAGGAGGCATCACCATGCGTGTGCTGTCCCAAGGTCTCTGTGTGTTCTGCATTCTCCTGGGAACTGGTGAGGAGATACTGGGAGCACTCTCAGTGGCAAAGCCCATGGCTGAGTTTTGGCTGTTAGGGAAACTCATTAATTGCAAATATCAAGTAACTAATAATTTTGATAAATGAACGGTGATCCGATCTTGCACAAAGCCAGGTTATCTTGCCATAATACAGCTCTGCAAACAATCAAGAATATGAGAAAGTGAAACAGAGTTAAAATTTGGTTTAGGCACATGCAAAGGTTTGTGTCTTGATATTGGCTGATGGAACCTGAGGATAACGTCTTGGTATCAAATGAGATATGGTAGGGTGATAAAGGACCTCTAACTGAATGGTTGGGGTTGCTTCCTGAGGCCATTAATTACAAAAATTTTTTTGCAGTAGGAAAAAAAGAATCAAAGAGTTTTATTAGGTGAATAAAAAAATCTGAAAGTTAGCTAAAAAAACATTCCAAAGGTAGGACTGCTGCAGTATAAAGAAAGAATTTAACCATGTAGAGCTCATTAAAAAGGAGTCAGATATATATAAAAGACATTAATTTCTTGCTGCATTTGAAATTTCAATTAGAATATATTATATTTATATATATTATTGTTTTTTCCTTGATTTCTGCAGGTTTCTAAAGTAAATTAAAATACTTTCCTGGGTTTTTTGTTTGGTTGGGTTTTTTTCCCCAATCTGTATTAAAGTTTCAGCCTCTGGACTATCTCACATTATTCTGTATCATCACCTGGACTTGTATTCTGTCTCTCTTACTTAGGGTCTGGCAATACCCTATGAAAGAATATGTTTAAGTCTAGAAACTGTATTTTTGAAGACACAATACAAAATTGTGTAGATACAGACACATTTTTGCTATAGTGTACAGGGTAACAACACAGACTTTCATATTCAAGCTTTTGTGAAATGAAAATTTAAAATTCTTTGGAAGCTTTTGGCTTGTATGACTTGGAAAAATTACTATAGTGCCATTTACCTGATTTTTCATATTCAAGTCATCAAAGAAAGGGGAAAAATGTTTTCTACTAAGAAATATTTATTACTGTAATTTTTGAAAATACAGGCTGGAGAAAGTCATGTTACATAAGTCTGGGAAGAATAATGCATAAATAAATAAAATATTATTGAGGATTAAGTTATAGAGACCCTTAAGAAAGTTCTAACAGAGGGAAGAGGAGTGGTATGAAGAGTAATTAGGTGGGATAGATGTCTTTAACAAACCACCACACCTTTCAGATGAGATTTTCACAGTGTGTGATGGCTTTTGGGAATTGTGGGCTCTCAGAGCAGCTGCTCAGCTGCTTGGGGCTGGACGTTGTGCATGCCCCTGACAAACTACAAGGAGCTCTTTGTACTGCCTGTGGCTAGCATAGGAAGGATACATTGATTTCTGTGAGCTCCAGAGAACCTGGTGAGCCTCCACCCTTTAGAGGGAAGAAATAATGGGCAAAAATTCTTGGTTTTATTGCTAGGTCAAGATTTGACAAGTTGAAGTCACATGTTGCTACAAACAGCAAAATATGGAGAAAAGTAGGTTGTTCATATATAGACTGCTCATGTATTTACACGTATTTAAATTTGTACTTGTGTTTCTTACTCTAGTGCACTCTTGCCCCTTTATTTATTGCAAATTGATTCTGAAGAATATCAGTAAATATTTAATTTGTATGATTTTTTTTCATTTAAATTATTGCAAACTCCTCATCTGCTAGTGAAATGTCAGAGATCAGAAATGGTGCTTGAATAAACACAGTAGTAATTCATGTAATGCCCTGGCAGTCTCAGGTATTCAGCACTGTCCAGTGTTCCTTCCACTAGACGGATTTTTAAAAGCTGGCTTCTGTATTTCACACCTGCAAACTACAGCAATATTTAGTTGGAAGTGCCGTGTGTCTGCAATTAATTCTGAATGCAGAAGTGAAATCTGGCCTCATGCATCAAAGAGCTTGGAGGCCATTTCTCTGGTTATTTGCTCAGCTGACTGTGTTTGATCAGAGATGATGTCCTCAGTGGTACAGAGAGGCTGACATACTTACAGGAATGCGAGTGCATTACTAATTGCCAGCACAGTGCAAAATAAATAAGTCTGCGGCTTTTCCCTATTTTATTTTCTTTTCAGTGCTTTTTAGAGCATTAGTTGGTTCCCTGTGTTCCATCTGGCAACATTGCATTATATTTAATTCTGTAGGAACAAGACTCCAATTTATATTTCAAAGGTATTTACCTTGTTGTATTGTGGCCTTTTTCATTTTGTGACCTGCAAAATGCATCCAAAATAATTGTCAGTCTCAGGTCTTATGCTCATATTACAGTTCCCTTGTCCCTTGTGGATCAAGATTTTCTGAATGAGTCCTGTTGAAATCCCTCCATGCAGTTACATCGAGTTTGTTTCAAGTCTTTTGGCTTCACATGGAATTTCCTTTCCCTTGAACTCTGTTTATAGTGGATACACATTGCTTTGATTTCATGCCTATTTTCTATATAGCCTGATGAAATTAAAATAAAAAAAAATAAAGCATAAAAAATGTGGAGGGCTTACCAGAATAAATGTTTAGTAATAGGATTGGTTGGTGCCCAAAGCTGTGGGACTGATCACATTGGTTAAGACACTCAAAATTAAGTGCCTGAACCTGTACATTTTGTTGGGATATGTACAAAACTACTTTAGCTGGTAGCCCCTCTGGAAAATATTTTGGGGTGAAAACTTTTTTCACACCATGTGGATCTAATAATAGCAATGACAGTGCCAGTTTCATAACACTGTGAGAGAAAGAAGGTGAAAAAAGGAGCACTGAGCAACAGCAGATACCATGTTTTACTGTGGTCATCTACTGACAAGTCTAGGAGGGGCCAGGAAGAAACATGACAAGCACACAGCATAGAAACCTGAGTTAATATCCATACAACAGTAATTGCAGAGGTTTTATGAGGGCCAGGGTTGATATAAAGCACCTCTAGGTGTCACTGCAACATTGTAAAATGTAGGTAAAAGAAGAGGACAAAGCTGAAGCTACGGGCTTGAACGCTCCAATTCCTGGTTACTTCTCAGTCAGCCCTTAATAAATGGTTGCATCATTAAAGAAGTCATTACCAAATGTTGATTAAACAGGGATAAACTTTTTGATAAGTGTCAGTAAGATTGTTACTGAACATTTTACTAGAATATTAAATATTCCAAGATTTGGTTTAACCTAGTTTTTAACAGCAAACACTAGGGCAGGGCAGCAGCTGATTCTTGGATGCTTCTTTGGTTTCGTCTCTGAGGTTCAGTCCTAATCTTTTCTAGGCTGTTTTTATGCCAACACTGATGCTGATTACAACCAAGATAATTTCTCTTGCTTTGCACTGGTATCAATTCAATTGGCTTGTAGAGATTAAAATTAGGAACATCATTTACAGGAAATGTGGGAGTTAGAACACAGAGTATTTGCATTTGACAAAAAAAAATTCAGGCTGCAATTTCATGAGGACCAATACAACATGTATACTGTATATATTGACTAATATGTCGATTGCCTTCTTCACAGGTCGTCAAAGAAAAGTCACATTTCAATGAAACAGAAACAAAAGAAAAGAAGCCACCAGATTCAACAGGTTAGACTATTTTTTTGTCTCATCAACTTCTAGTTCCTAAGAAATAACACAGAAATAACCATGATTTTCCTGAGCAACTCCTGTGAAGTTGCTTGAATTACATTTGTGTTCATCAGCATGAGTGAGTGAAGGGTGTGCAACTGCTCAATAAGGTACTTTGTATGAGGAATTTATTAACCTTGACTTGGCTGACAATAACTTGGAGTGAGAAAAACATTTTCTAGAGCTGGGTCTCAAAGAAAGCATTTTTGACCCATGAAATCGCAATTTACAAATAAGTAGTCAGCTCTTGCTTAGGAAACAGTTGTACTGACCTTGAAAGTGGAAGAGGAAAGCAAATACCTAGTTCAAAATTCAACAGAAGTTATGCTAAGTCTGCAGCTCTACTTTTATACTGTTACTGTCTATCAGAAAAGCACTGACAGATTACTTTGTAATCCCTTATAGATGGGGACATCCAGCAGAGTCAGTCCTGCTCTCAGGAAGAAGTTGATAAGCTCAACAAGGAAAATGCGAAGAGGGAAAGTTCTGTTCTGCTTGAAGTGGATCCTCCCAAATTTCATACTGAAGAGTCAGATGAGAAAGAAGAAAGTTTGTCTTTAGAAAGCCATTACGAATATAGGAGAAACTCTTTCCAGGAATCCTTCACTCCAGAACAGAAACAGGAAGAAGATGCTGTTAATGATGCTTGTCAAAAACTAACTGTGCAGAAGACAGAGAGTGAGTCCCCAACAGATGAGGAGAAGAAGGAACATCAGGTGCCTGAAGATGCACTTGAGGAACAACAAAAGGAGAAAAAGAATGAAGGGGAGGAAAATGCTGATAAGAGTGAAAAAGGTGCTGAGGACCCACCAGCTCCTTCCCAAAAGGAAGATAAGGCAGAACAAAGTCATGATGAAGAGGTATCAGAGGGAAGGTAAGGTCTGAAACTCAAACTACGCATTCTTGGTTCAGAAAAATGTGTAGTTCAAGTTTCAAATCAAAGTGACTGATTAATATAAGTACTGGTGAAAATTTAGCCCAGTACAAAAGTGAAAAATATGTTTATGTCTCTGATCTAAGTGAAATTATATTCTTAAAAAAAGACAAGCGAACAATCCACCACATATGATATTAGCAGTGTGCTGTGGCTGTTTGCTTGGGAAATATGTAAGGAACACGGGAATTATGTTATGCTATTCTTTATCTCTGAGGAGAATTCTCCCATAGTTATGCTTATATACTGCAATGTCATATAACATAAGCAAAATAGATTAGGCTATCTGCCAATTGGGAGTTAATTTACTGCAAATTTAGTAACTTAAAGGACAACATAAAAATGTGAACATTTGCCCAGGTAATTGACCTAATAGATTTGTTTATTGCACTTCTTTCTTGGCTGAATTTAATATATAGCGTTTCAAGGATAAACAGGTTTAAGCTCTCAGGAACCTGTATGAACAAAGGGGAATTTCAATGCTCTCCCCTTGCTTTAAAGGCTAGATTCATAGCCTAATATCAAGTTCAGAAGAACTCAGGTGAGGTTTTCAGTAACTGAGAAACATTTTGCTGTCATGATTAATTTTAGGGCCATTTTTATTTCTCAATGTGAATATTAAACCTGTAAATTTTACACCATGAAACAAAATAACTTAATGTTATTTGAATGCAATAGCCATGTAGGCATTTTTCAGCTATGTTTCTAAAGTTGCTCTGCTTTAAGTGTACTCTGCACTAATACCATGTTTTATCCTTGCAGGTGTAAAAGCTGCGAAAAAGGTACAGGAAATTCTAGTTCAATCCCTGGGCAGACCTGCCAGTTTGAGCATAGTGGTAGCAGTGAGCATGGAGTGCCTGAGGAAGGTCTAGTCAAAGATGACAACAAAAAGAGCAGAGTAGTTGCAGAAAGTGCTGACGGCATATGTAAAACTATAAAGAACTCTTAAAGGAAGTATCCTAAAGGGAAAGCATTTGATTCCCTTGGTATTACAATGATGAACAGAGACAGAGATCTGTAGAAAAGAATGATTTCATGATTCTAATTAGCAGGGGGAAAAGGTATGCATGGTAGCTCAGATGGGAAACAGTTTTTCATGGACTGAATCTTAAGCTGATGAGAAATAACACGATTCTGCTTGCTTTCATAATAGACGCTTCTGGTCTGTCAGAAATTACTCAAAATTAATTTGCTTCTGCCATAACTACTCCACTAACACTATCCTGTCTCCCTCTTCTTTTAACAAAAGCTAAAATCCCTAAGTATGGAGTGGAGGGAGAAATTATATCAGGTGTGGCAAACTTGGTCTACCTGTGGAAAAGTGTTGAGAATGTGTGTTAACAGGGAATCTGCAATGCTGTGGATGTGGCATGAAAAACCAGCTTGCTCATATTCATGCCATTGTAATCTGAAGTGAGAACTGCAGGCTACAAAGTAAAGAAATACAGACTTTTGTGTAGAAGCCTGAGTGATGCTGTTGAACAGTCAGATAAATGGTGCTCAGGCACAGAACTCTGAAGCAGTACTTACCATGGTGAGGCAGAAATTTCTAATATTAGACCTCTATCTTGAGAATTTCAATGCCTATCCCTTTATATGAAATTATGGCATGTGAAGAGGTGGCCTGAAAGACTTGGAAAAATATGCGTGTGCATGTGCATACACAGGACTCAGGATGAATTTATCTGCTTTCGAAAAGGGGGGAGAGCATGGGAGGGAAACATCACAGGTTTGTGCTAGGTTTTTGTAGCAGGAAACTGGAGATAGCACACTAAAACTTTAAAATCCATAAACTCTTGTGAGCTCTGGGTGATTGCTATGGATGATGTTAAGGTTATAGTGTCTCTATTGGAGCATATTTGAGCTGTAATAGGAAATTTTTCTTGAATAGGGAGAAATCCCCACTGGTTTGCAGGAAAAGGAAAATAGAGGGTCTATCATGGGGAACATCTTGAAGGCAAAAACTTAAACATAGTTTTGAAAAGCAGTCTGGTGTCTTTAAAATAATATTTCCTTGCCCAAAGTTTGGTAATGTTTTTAGCTGAGCTTTCAGAAAGACCTTTTCTTCTGTCACTTACATACTAGTGCTGATGGAGTTTGTGTTGTTAGAGTCAAATTTTGCCTTAGGTTAGAGGTTTTCTTAGCATTTTGTGGGTCTTGGTAACGTGCAAAGACCCATACTTACAGTCATGCAATTCAAACTCTGCAGAATCCCAAGTAGGTGGCAAACTTCCAGAAGCCCCAGCTTTTCATAATTCCTTGTCCATGAACTAACTTCCTGACCATGTAAGTTATTAACACTGTCAAAAAAAAAATCTAGGTACACAGCTGGTGTCCTGGAAAAATGGACACTGACTGTGAATAAGGACAATCTACTGCCACATTAATGACCAAACTGTTCCTGCCAGCTACGTGCTGTCATGGGGTTTCTTGTTTGTGTTTTTGATCATTTTCACTGGAGAAATGAATGGTTTTAAAATTGCTCAACAAGCCTCACACAAAAAGGAGCTGGCATTCCAAACTAGAGAGCTCATATTGAAACACTGGGGCTGTAGCCCTCCCAAATGGTTGAAGAAGTATTTGTCACCTTGGTCAGCCAAAGGTCACTCTCGGGAGTATCAGTCAAATGAAGAACAATGTGGGTATGAAACTGAAGTCACAAAAGCCTGCAAAAAGTCCAAATTAGGCATGGAGGGCTGGTCTCCAGCAGGGATTTTGACATCAGGATGGCAGGAAGGGCCAGCATGTGGAGGTCCAGAAAGTAACACCGAGACCTGCCAAAACTCCATAGCTGCTGCAGTGCAATGCTGGGGACTACCCCTCCTCTGTGTCCCTCTTTACCGTCTGCCATCTTTTTTTTACGGACAGAAATTCTTCAGATCAGCATTTGACATATGTACTGAGCCATACTGGAAATCCCAAGTGCTGTCTGCCAGGGTGAAACTCCCTCATGTGCACGAACTCTAAATGTGATCTTTAAAGGTGATGACCACACTGTGGAAAAAGACAAGTTTTGTCAATCAGTTGAGAAGGGGATTCTTCACTGTTAACACCAAAAGCTGGGAAATAGCCTCTCTTAGCTGGGCTTGCAGGAGAGGCTATTTCTCTTCCTACTCCACTGGAGAGTTAGAGTACATACTCACCTACTAACAGTCCCTGAGGAGGAAAAAATATTTTAAAGAAACAGAGATTAGGCTGAATTGCAGAGGCCCCTTGTGAATATGAAGCTACGTTGGTATAGTCTAGTAGTCTTCACTTTGCCTCTCGCAACTATTGTACAAAGGATGACAACTTTAAAAAGGAGTCCTTGTCTTGTGGTAGTGTAACTCCCCAACAATAACCTCTTTTTATGAGTCAGAGCTTCTGAAATAAAACCCTTGTTTAATAGCAGAGAAAGACCTATCTATAAAGCTTACAGTAAGTGTATTCAGTTCTTAAATGAACTTATCTGGGGAAAAGAGGAACTAAAATATGGGATAGACAAGCACTGCATGTGACCACTCATATGCTCTCTGTCTGTTTCATCTTTTTTAGATGATACTCCTACTCCACCAGCACCATTTGATCACCGGATTGTCTCAGCCAAAAGGGTGGGGATCAGCAATTACTATAATGTCAACGAGGATGAAATTCTGGGAGGGTAAGTCAGGTGTAGTAAATCAGCTTGGAAAGCAAGGCACAAATTTACAGCCAAGTACCCTGGGAGGTGAATGGAGGCAACATGCCCCACTAGAGCTGAAGTAATGAAAGTCTAAGCTCTTTCAGTGCTTTATAGAGGGATGAAAAGAGGAGGCTGGTTTTATAGTGTGAGTGAATTTTGGCTTACTATTTGGCACCAGCAGACTTGGCCTGTGTTTGGCATTGTTCATAGAGCCAGATGCCCTCAGGCTTTATGACAGGGCTCCTAGGGTGCTGAATTACTTTACCTCAATTTACAGCCAGTGGTATTTAGAGACATACCGTAGTCTTCCTCTCTGTGAGTCTCACTCCTGAAAACACATGCTTATTTTCAGATAGATTACAAGATATTACAAGATATTACAGACAGGTGATCTGACAGGCCATGGAGTTACTTATCTCTCATGCTGACATTATTTAGGAGAGTGGGATATTGTAATTTTCATGGCAGCATACTCTTGGGTAGGACTTTGTTTCATCAAAAAACCACAACCTTCCCATGGAGGAGAACGATGTGATGGAGAGGGGCAGATGGTGCACAGAAGTGAGCCATTATCCTTACAGTATAACTTTGACTTGCTTGGGATTAGTCACTGCATGTTATGAGGTGAGCATAGCAAATCATATAAGTGGGGAAGTATCAGAGAGAACAAGGTGTGATGTTGGTGTGCCTAAGTGAGTAGTAGCAAGTACAATCTACACGATAAAATAGCAACAACAGAAAAATTGAAATGAAAGCCAGTAGGGAGAGGATAATTCATGTTTTTTTATAGTGTAGTTTACATTCACAGTTGACACCTGTACCACTGGATTATTTTTTTGCTCCTTTTTCCTAGAGGGCGATTTGGGCAAGTGCACAAATGTGAAGAGAAAGCAACAGGTCTCAAGTTGGCAGCCAAAATTATAAAAGCACAAGGTCCAAAACAGAAGGTTGGTAGAGCATGATATTAGTCTTTTGTTCCCATGTATTGCACTGTTCTTCAGCTACCCAAAAGGTCATGACCAAGTGTCTCATGAGCCATTACACTCATAAGACCTGCTGGAATACCATCAATTTTATCTCCTCTAAAACTTCTAGTAGCTTATCAAAGTACTATTTTTGGGGTGTTTTCTGATTCTTTTAAAGATTATTTTTTTTCTTTCTTTCTGTTGATAATTCTGTTAATGTTTTCTTTAATGGTAGAAACATTTGTCAGGCTGATGACGTAGTGTATTCCCTCCCAAGCACACTGTAGCCTTTGCTGCAATGACTTGATGTCAGTGATGGGGATGCTGATAACAGACATGATCTGGTCACCTGACATCAACACAAATATGATGAGAAGAATTAATCTGGGCTGTTTTGCAAACCTCTTGGCCATCTGGGACTGGCTTTCACTGGAAAGATGTGCATGGCATCCTTTGTGTGACACGGGTGTCATTAAGGGCATTCAAGAGTGGGATTTGTCTCAGTTAACTGGAGTTTCTAAGCTATAGCTGTGGCCAAGCTGACCACCAAGTATCCCTTTATGGTGAATGGAGAGAGACTGACACCATCAGAGAATGATTCAGCATATATAAAATATTTGGACTGAATGGAGGTACCAGTCTCTCTTCTCTGACTGCAAAGTTAGGTTTTGAGGACTGTCTTGGAGTTTTCTTAGCTTGATTTTGTGCATCTACAGCTGTTTGAACAAAATTCTCCTCTGCTTCTCTTTTTCCTTTACATCCCTGGGAGCCTGTCACTTGTCCATGCGGGCTCTCCTCTTCCTTTTACAGTAAATATCTTATTACTGAAACACCCCACTGAAGCTCTGAGTTCAGTCTGTTAGTTCCTATAGCTTTGACATTGACCACTTGCAAGAGCCCTGATTCTGGTTGCCACAAGAGAGAACATGAAAATAATGTAGATTTGCTTCAGACGTAACTTTCTTAGCAAGCAAGGCAACTGAAGCAGTACTCATGGTTCTTTACAGGATGAAGTAAAAAATGAAATCAATGTCATGAACCAGCTGAATCACGTGAACCTTATTCAGCTATATGATGCCTTTGAATCTAAAAATGACATTGTACTCGTCATGGAATAGTAAGTATGTTCTTTTCCTTTCTGTGTTTACTACTTTTGCTAGAATTGTCAATTTCCTTCTTGCTTTCTCCTGAAATTAGAGATGGAGCATCTAACAGGTGGAAAACAGAAATTAAATATGTTCTCATGAACAACAGAAAAAAAGGGAATTTAGGAGAAAAGTTTTCCGATGCAGCCATTTATGCATTTTTTCCAGTAGTGTGCCACATTCCTGGCGCTACAAAGCAAATGCTCCAATAGAAGATAGAGCTGTGTTACATATCTTTAATTTAGCTCTTTAATTTGTGTTGGGAAAGAAATAAACCTTTCAGACTACCTCCTATTCTGTGAGGCAAACAAGAAGACATCTAACACTGAAGAGGAGCCAGATATGGGTGCCGAGTGCCTGAAAGGAAAAACCTACTTTTTATGCTGTGTTATCAGACTAATTAGGCACAAAATATCTGCCTTAAGGTCAAGTTAAGCAGGTGCTGTCTTAAGGAAGTCAAAAAGGCCAAAACTAAAACACTGAAATGTGTGGCCAATGGTTCAAAGTTATGTGAATTTGACTATTCTGGACATTCTCAAATAGTCCTCTGAATTTGGTCTATATGATTAACATAAGAAAAATATCTGTGCATCTATGAACAGATAAGCTGGAGGCATACTGAAATGTGAAGAGAAATTAAATAATTTTTGTTGACTTTAGGTAGTTTGAGATTGACATTTGGATCCTATCCCTCTTAAACTTAGAGGGAAGAGACCACAGATTTAAATGCAGATTCTCCATTATGTTGTTTTGGTTTTCCGTGGAACTTCATTAATTGCACTGGTACAAAATGATGACTGGAGACCACATAATATCCAAATTTCAAGACGTTCATAGTTTTCAATGGATGGGAGGAGGGACTCTTAGGCCTTGAAGAGGCTCAGACCAGTATGCATCAGAACTCAGATTTTAGAAAGTTCAGATCAGAGAGCTCATCTTACTTAACTTGACTGTGAATGATAAAAATGGTCAAGAGCGTATTTTCTGCATTAGTCTTACTGTATGGGATTGGATTTGAACTTGGTCACTGCTTTATTGTGCTTTATTGTCTTTTTCTCCTCAGTGTGGAAGGAGGAGAGTTATTTGACCGAATTATTGATGAAAACTACAATTTGACAGAGATGGATACTATCTCTTTCATAAAACAGATCTGCAAGGGAATTCAGTACATGCACCAAATGTACATTATTCATTTGGATCTCAAGGTACAGTTTTGAGATGTATGTTTTGTGCAATGACAGATGTGGAAATTCCATTCTTAATGGTAGGCCATAAAGCTTAGCAGATTCCTGTGGCAGAAACAACAAAGAGCCTTATTCTACTTTCCTTATTTCAATGCATATTTACTTTAACCACATTGAGATCAGTTAAATTACTACAGGACTAAGTAAATTAGATGAAAATTGTGGTCATATGTCATCAAGCTTCATAGTGCTTAAATTTTCCACAGACTGATTTTACAGAAAGCCAGCAGCTGACTACAAATATGTTGCTATTTTTAATTTCCATATTTAGATCTCAAGATATTGAGCAAGTATTATTTAATTCAACTGCACAAGGTACGTGTTTTATACAGCAGCCATGGGGTGGTAATTATCCCTGTTGTTTACTATGCAGAAAGGCATGAGTGAGTGGAACTAAATTCAAGTGTCATTCAGGATCAGTGTAAGCCCACACAATTTTTTGAGGACTACACTAAACTGCTTCTGTCATGAAAAGGCATCAATAGATAGCCAGATTAAGGGGAAGTACATTAAAAAGTACTTTCTAAAATGAAAGGAATAAAAGTAGTCAGTGGTTAATGTAACAAATACAGCCTGTGTAGCTGAAAGCCCAGAGAAAGGTGGCAGATTCTCTACCATGTACTAACACAAGTACAAGTACTCTACCATCTACTTGCACATTCTGACTCTGGTCAACTGCAAATGGTCAACTGCCACCCCTTAGAAAACATTTGTTATTATTTTTCATTAAACTGTACACTTGAGCTGGCTCTTTTTCCCTTAGCCCAATTTTTTATTAAATAATGGACTTGTTCCTTACCTCTATTTAGTGCAGGAATAAAATGGGATGATGACTTTAGTTTTATGACTGGCTAGAAAGCTTCCTAGTGATCTCTAAGCTTTACAATACAATAAAAAGAAACAAGGAGTGCACAAGATGGCTTTCTCTTTGGTGAGATTTTTATAACAGCTTCTGGTTTTGGCTTGTAATAACTGAGTTAATATAGTACATCTTTAATGTTGTTAGCATACATATTATTGCAGTGGTTAAGGAAATGAGCAGATGCTTGTTGGGACCTGCTTCAGTAGCCGATTGATGACCAGACTTACTTTTCTCGTTCTCTATAAACATCCAGTTACCTAGAAACCTGTCAAACAGAAGTTCACACAGTTCTTTGGGACACATTAATTATGATCTTGAGATGGCACAGTTTTAATGTGAGGTCAAACTGCTGACAAAAATATACATATACAATCCAAGAAATTAATCCCAGAGATCTCTTTTCATGTGCTTGCCAGCTATGGCTTCTCCCTTCTGTTTTGCTTGTTCATAGATTGCTGTCAGTAACAAATGAGTTTGGGAAAGAAAGCTTGAAATTGAAAGAAAATTGTCTTGACCATAATCATACAGGACCTCAGAAACTATGGACATATGGTGTTTAAAAGTCCTACATGTAAAATGAATTAGTAATGGTGACAAAGGTTAACTAATGTTTTAAGTGTTGAGGGCTGTTTTGTTTCAAAGAGGACTCACTGAGCAATAAGACAGAGTAGCTGTAAAAGTGCTGGCAGTGAATATGGGACTGTGCTTTAGGTATTTACATTTCAAAGACAATTGGCCAAATCCTTCTCTCAGTTTCTTCTGTAAGAATTTGGAGTAATTCTTGGAAGTTAATGGATTCCTGCCAGGAAAGTGAAGAATAGCATTTGGCCCTGTGAAAATCCAGAGGTATTTAACCTGTGAATCCTACTTTTGCTAAAATACCTGAAAAAAACCATAAAGTTGATGTGACTGGCTTAATATATTAATGTTCAATCTGACAGAATATTTGAGAACTCAGAAATGTAAAGCTGTAAGATAAATTTCAAAGCCCAAAAAATCAATTTCTTTTTAATCACTGTGAGCTTATTAAGGTCTGTAAAATCACAGTGAAAGTATCCTGAAACCCCTCCTTGGAAGTGTGCATTCCCTGTCGCCCTCCCCCTAATGAGTTCTTTATCTGAACTGCTGCCTTATGTCAAATTGAAAAGCTATGGGGAGGAAAAAGCAGTTGGAAGGCACAAAATGCATGGTTCTGGTTCTTGTGTGACAGCAAGGGGGGTATCCGTGCAGAGAGATCGGAACAAGGAGGGAAGCAAAAGGTGCTCATGAGATATTTGCACTGTTATTAGTGTCCTTCTCCCTCCAGTTTACTAAAAGCCCAGTTTTTCATACTTGTTTCAAGTGGTTTTTGTTGTTTTTTCTTTTTGTTTCTCTTGGCAGCCTGAGAATATCCTGTGCGTGAACCGAGAGGCAAATCAAATAAAAATTATTGATTTTGGATTGGCAAGAAGGTACATGCATGTGTTGTCACTAATCATAAATGAATTAGGAAACAATGAAAAAAGTATTGCATCTCTGCAATTATGTATTTGATACATAATGGTCTTCTACTCTTCTTAGGACAAATTTGTTTCTTTTAACCAGGGATATCTTTTAATATGAAATGTTTGAAGCTGAGTGAAAAAAATTTGTCCTGAGACCTTCTTTTCATGTAGAAGGTTGAAAGAGGGCTGATTCTCACTAAGAATGCACATAAATATCTTGGAACAGCTAAAACGGACAAAACCAGGAGTACATCTTTTCTAGTCTCTTGTCTCCAGTATTAAGAGATTCTTCAAAAGAGAGTGTGAGATACCATTGTGGGCTCTTAAAATATATCCCATGCTATATCCCTTCCTAGTTTAATTAGGTGCTATAACCTCAGTGAAGGATTTACTAGTTAAGAAATTCATGCCTATGATATGGAGAAGTCCCAAAAGGATGGTAAGAGCTGCTCTGAGAAGTCCTTGAATTATGAATTCCTTCCTTTTTGTAGTAATTGCATTTTGCCTTAGTATGATACAAAGCTTGACAATACTTTTCATTCTATATATGGGTATATTTCTTTTTAGTTTGTGCCTCTGTCTGTCCTTGTTTTCCTACTGAATTTTTTGTATGGTCCTGGAATTCCTCTAAGTGCTAGACAATTGGTGATGCAACTTTAATAAGAACTGTAATTAATGTCCTTTGTTAATGTTTTCATTTACTAGATATAAACCCAGGGAAAAACTTCGAGTTAATTTTGGGACTCCAGAATTTCTTGCTCCTGAAGTTGTGAATTATGAGTTTGTCTCTTTTCCTACAGACATGTGGAGTTTAGGAGTCATTGCTTATATGCTGTAAGTAGGATTCAGTATCTGCTTTGTAAACTGTTTCCTTGTTTGCTGTTATACTGGAAGAGTGAAAAACTGTGTACCCAAAATAGGAAATGTAGACTTATTTCCAAATTTCCATGTTGAGAAACCTCTCCTCTTTTCCAATTGCCATGAACTTTTCATCTTTGGTTTTTTGCACATCTCTCAAGAGTGTTTGAGCATCACACTTCCAGAGTAATGTAAGCTGCTTGGTAAATTCCCAGTGGTTAGTGCAAGAGTGGTCAGAGGGCTAGAAAATATCACCTACCATGAAAGACAGTAATGCTTGGTGTGTTAGAGGAGTGATTATTTAAACACGTAAATAGATGAGAAAATGGGAATGGTTTGCAGACCTTCTTAGAGAGTAGTATTTTGTAAGATAGGCCAGAGTGACAGAATAATCTTGGTACATTGGAGACCATGAACAGGAAGAGGGAAAGACAGGAGGACTGAACATATTCCTTTTTACTTCAGCCTCACTGGATTGTCTCCTTTTCTGGGTGATGATGACAATGAGACCCTCAACAATATCCTGGCCTGTAACTGGGATTTTGAAGATGAGGAATTTCGAGATGTTTCTGATGAGGCCAAAGATTTCATATCAAAGCTTCTCATCAAGGAAAAATGGTATATAATCCTGTATCTTTGAAATGTGTATTCCATGACATCATGACACAAGTGTGTCACTTGTGCTGCCCCATTGCAGAACTAATATGACTTAAGTTTTTTATGCCCACATACAGTATTATAATGACACCTCATTGATGTTGTTCATTGTATCCATTAAATGCTCTGAAATTACCTGAATACATCTTTGCTGAGAAACAAAAATTAATCTGCTGTCATGCTGTTCTGAAATGACAGCATTGCATGATGGCAGAGCACATGACCTGTAGCAGATAACTGCTGAATTGTAAGATTCTGGGAAAAACTGTTAATAGCATTCTGGTTTTCCTCTAGCTGGAGATTAAGTGCAACTGCTGCCTTAAAACACCCATGGTTAACAGACCACAAGCTCCACTGCAGACTCCAGGTCCCTACATTTAAATACTCTTGTGCATCTGCTGTTGCCCTCTTGTGTTGCCACATCACTTTGCTTTGACATTTTTCTTCACTTCATTTGAGTCTTTGTTGCTAATTCATTTCCTGCCACTGTGAGCCACTTGTGTCCCTTTGCTTTTTTTTTAGCTGTTATAATTTGCATGCTCACACTTCCTTATCAGTTCTTGCATGTCTGGGAGGAAATATAAGATCCTGCAATGCTGTGTGTTGCTGAGTGGATCAATTTCTTAGCAAAATGAAAGTATTTACAAAAGGAGCACTATATTACCATGTGAAAAGGATTTTCCAGCTGGGCATGATTCTTATTCCTGCTTTGAAAGCCCTTTCAGGATCCCCTGAAGACCTCCCTCAGTGCTGTTTCATCCTGTCTCTTCCAAAGAGATACCTTTCCCAACAGAGCTTGGAACTTCACCTGGTGCATACCTTTGTACTTAAGCACCTTCTTGCCCTTCAGTGGTATCCAGCTTAGTGGCCAACACAGAAGAAGTTTTGCTCAAGCAAACAATTCAGTTGGGCTGAGCTGGAGGAGCAACAAGATTTTAAATCACTTTGGTTATTTCTGTGTCAGTAATTTTTGGAGATTCACACTCTTGGTGACACCTCTGTTAGCTGTTTCTAAGTGAGTCCACTCTGTGGTTCAGTGGTTCACAAAGGGATAATTGTAAGCAGATTTCAGAATTTTTACAGCTTTTGAAGTGCAATATTCACTTCTTCCTTAGCAGGCAAAGCACATCTGTGTTAACTAAGATGACTACTGTATTGCCTGGGATGTATATGTCAAGGTGCATTTTCATATACAACCATCATTAAGAATTAATAGGTGATAGTATTAATTAACAAAATAAGGTTATTAAAATGAGAGCAAAGATTATGGTGATAATCAGCAGAGGTAGCCCTACTGATAAGGCAGTGGGATGGACTGAATAGTGTCTTGATAGCTGTCCTTGCAAGATGTTCCTGTTATAGACCAAGGATAACCAGAATTACTGTAAAATAGGATATAAAAAATAAAATAAATTAGTCGAATTTTCACTTAAATTTAGTTTTCATTCCAATGTCCCAGAACAGCAATACCCATGAGATTATTACATGATTTTTAAGTGTGTGTGCACAGTAAAAATAGGAGAGTTTGTCATGGTTAATATATCTTCAGAGGTTTTTGTAGAATATAATTTGACTCCTTTAGTTGGGCTCCAGTGAAGCTCTGATTTCTGCAATCTGGGAAACACAGTCTTTTCCAAGTGCTGCAAGAGCACAAGCTTCTGTCCTTACTATCACCAGTTTTTTTTCTCAGGAAACCCTACCCTAATGCAAACCCTACCCTAATGCAAACCTTACAGCTCATGTTGTCCTCTGTATCTTCTCCCCCAATATTTGTTTTATTCATACTTGTGCTTTGCAAAATAGCTTAACTAAACATACTGATGTTGCAGTGTTCTTCTGCCATTACCTTAACTAGTAATAAGATATGATTGATCTTCAATTAGTGCTCCAATAATGGTATCTTTCTTTTTTTTTTTCCTTAGAAAAAGGCTAAAGGTGGCTGTGTGTCTCAAGCACCCCTGGCTCAATAACCTCTCTGAAAGAGCTGCCAAACAGAAGGTTTGTTTCAGGTCCCAAATGTTCCTTCAGATGTAAAAGCTTTAGCCCCTGTGGAAGGGATCAGGGGACAGCTGAAAACCTTGTGTAGTCCAAAGTGCACGGTCCAAACTGTATTCACCACCACCATCTCTGCTGCTGTCTGGAAAGCATTCAAAATGTAAACTGGCTCTATTACTTATACCAAGTAACAGCAATGTGCAAAATAATTAATAGGTACGGAGCCATATGTGCTGCAAACCCTGGCCATTTTAGAGGGAATGGTTATGCTCCCACTGGCTCTCATGGGACAGAATTTCACCCAATAATTTTTCAGTGTTGAAAGCTTTCGGGTTTTCATGCTGTGGTTAGAAGTAGAGTTTAAAAAGAGTAGAAATATGAAAAATAATAACTTTTTAGCAGAGGCATAGGCCAGACCCTCAGGGCAGCTTGACTAACTGCAGCAAAATCAAAGCAAGGTGACCCCTAAAAGAAGCTGCTCCACACGTGCAAGGAACCAGTTCTGACAAGGCACTTACCTTCCTTTTAGCAACCCAAACAAATTTGACAGAGCATCTCGCTGTCATTTTTCCCCGGCTCCTTGTCTTTGCTCTTTCATTAACAAATAGTTCGTTAGTGGTTCTCAGGCTGGCTTGGTTGCCTTCCCTGGGGATCAAGCAGACTTAAGTCTGCTCTTTTTCTGTCCCTGGTCTTGGACCCGTGCATGCTCACTCAGCCACTTTGAAACTGTGCAGCCTCAGGTGGTGCAGTGTCTCCATAAACCAGTACTCCAATTCCCACAGCCACTTTCACCAACTACCACAAAAATTGGCAGCTCTGTTCAGGGACCAAGGGAACTGCTCAAAGGTTCTGGAGGCCATCTCTGGGCAACACTTGGTGGAGGGTCAAGATGTGAATTAGGCTGAGAACACACACATACACTGTAAAACCACTTCCTTTTAGTAGTGCGTCACATGTAACAACAGCATGCCAAAATAAAAGTAGTCCACCTTTCACCACTTGCCAAAGGGCAAGTTTTTAATGGTGCCATCATCCATCATCTGCTTGGTAAGACAAGTGCTATGTTGGCTTTCTTTTTGCAACAAGTATTTTTCCAGGAACATGTGGAAAACAGAGTATTGTGGGAAGTTGAAATTTTTCTTCTGACTAAGTAAGATTAGAGCAAATTTTATACAGTCTAGTGTAGTAACACAGAAGGTAATGGTCTTTACATGAGCTATTTCAGAGACATGAAGATGCCTTTTCATGATAAAGTGGAAGCCAGTAAGCACTAAGGTACCATTATTACATCACACTTGCTCTCTGAAGCAATGTAACTTCCTGACACTGTAATAGCTGAGCATCAACTTCTGGAGTAGAAATCCAGTGGGAAATTATACCTCTTTGCGATCCTCCATGTTCACCCTCACTTCACTGGTGCTGAGATAGATTCTATAATGCTTTGGTCCACTCACCTGTGTGCTTCTACACAATAGTTTTCTAAAATAGATTTTCCAGCCCCGTTGCAAGATTGGTGTTTGTATCTGGATTTCCAATTTCAAGCCACTAACTTGTGGCAACAAACACAACAACAAAATGGTGAAAATTCTCCCTCTGCAACACAGGAAGCACTGTATTACACAATTTTCTGTTACAACCAAAGTCAACTTTAAGATAAATTGACTGTCCAACAGCAGTCAAAATTATTTTAAAATAAACTTTTAATAGCTTTGTAACATAGTAACCTACCCATGATCTAACTTGCAGGAAAATCTGGTTTTGGCTTTTGCAGTGTTATTTCCTCTGTGTGTGTTTTTCTTTTTGGAGCTTATTTGAGTTTACTTAATGAGTGGATCTAAAGCCATAGCTGTGCTTTATTTTTAAAGAATATTTTTAGCTATTTTTATCAGGCAAGTAGTATGGTTACCACATTTAACCCAAAATAATGCACTCAAGTGCCAGTTGATTTAGACCTGGCATTATAAATGCTTGCAGTGGTAACACAAATAAATTGAGAGGTTTGCAGCATGCCTTTGCATACTGTGATCTGTATGACAAGAGAGGCAAAAAAAGCAGAGTAGCTGCATTTAAAGAGACACCTCCAAGATCAATCTTTTTAATATTGTATAAAACATTTCACAGAAAAGCTGGCTGTGAGAATCCTTTGTAAGCAAGAAGCTTCAGTGCTGCTTTCTTTTCTTTATGCACAAAGAAACCACCATGTGGTCATCCCAGAACACTTAACCAAATGAAAAAAATATACTGCTGAATTAAGTGGATTCTTGTTTTGTTTATTTTACAGAAAAGCTGCTGTGTGGTTACTGCTGCTAAGAGATTTGAAAATATCAGCAGTCTCGGTGCTTCACCCCCCTGCCATGACTGAGACTTCTACTAAATGGACCAACAGCACTTCAGTTGCAGGACAAGTCCCAGCATTGTGGAGCTGCTTCTTCTCTATTCAGCTATTAAAAGAAGGAAAGTATTTCTCCAGGTTGCAGGAATGTGTTTCTTCTGGAGCAGCACGTTCTCCATGCCTGCAAGTGCTACATTAGCTTGGTTTCATATGAACTTTATCTAGTCTTATATCCTCATTTACTTATCAAAGGCTCCTTAAAGTTAAAATTATCATGTAAAATTGACTGTTTCTCAGCTGAGCCCAGAAGGAAATCTGTCATTATGTTATATCTCTAGCCAAGGTTCATTTGACACTGGAGTAAAATAATTAAAAAAAAAAACAAAAAAAAATTGCAGCAAATTTAAAGCTGCCTTCTGTAGAAGGTTTGAAGTTTGTTTTTCCTGTCACACTAAAATGAGTTAAGGATTAGCTCAACCAGAGTTAAAGCCATGTTAATGTAACATCAGTGGAAGGGAGAAATGAGGCTTTCCTTGTGTATAGGTGAATTTGCTGCAACTGTGATATGGTACATTTCAGGATTTTTTAGCCTGATGAATTACTGCTCACTGTAAATACACTTGGATTAATTAAACAAGAAAGAGAACAAGGCACTATTCACTTGTACCCCTGCAGACCCTGTTCTCCAAAATGCAAGTATAATTCAGAGTTATTTTAACAGAGGGTGATTTTATATCAGCTAATCTCTTTAATGCTAATTTAACTGATTAGGACCACTGGCAAAGCGGTGAACAGGCTCAAATAAAAATCCTCTGTATTTATGAAGTTTTCTTGTCTTGCGCCCAAGCCTTTCCGATTTTTAACTATAAAAAATTGGAGTCAGAACAGCTGAATTCATCACCTGAAATTTTTTGATTATGGCTTATCATTAAGTGAATCTAAGTTGCCGAAACTCTGAAGTTAAAATAATGAGACTTACTCACTGCTGTATATGGCTTTCTTACTGCTTGTTTTCAGAACTATATAAATGCTACTACAAAACTGTAATGAGTATTTTAATTAATCATGCTGTTGTGGTGTCTTTACATTGTCTTTGCTTAATCCAGTTCTGATCAAACCACATATTAACATAGCTATCTCTATATATTTATCTATACATTTCATATGTTTATATATTTAAGTTCTGTCTTTTTAAAAAAGGGATCAACATAAGGACAAAACAGTATTATTCATCACCACGCAATTAATTGCTTCTCACACCTTTGTCCTTTCTGGATAGCGTTACTTTTGAAATAAAAAGGGGCCCATTAATGGGACATCATGGCCATCACACTCTCTACAGCCAGTTTGATCCAATGTTTTAAAATCATTGTAGTACATCCCTTAAGACTGCTGCTGTAAATGAACTGGGCTTTTTATAGCTGTGACTTCTTAGTAATACTGATGTGTTGCACCAGAGGTTGCAAATACTGCTGTCACACCCTGACACACCATGTAACTTTTATATGATGTAGAGCACTGCCACCTTCAAGTCCTCCTCTGTAGTCTTAACTAAAGTAAACTTCGACAAGCAGAAATGGAAGTTTCTTTGGGGAAAGACTGAGCAGTCTCAAAGCAAGAAAATGAGCATATGACTTTTAGGTAGAAGCTGGGCTGCTTTTTTTTAGTCACCATTTATATTTGCCTGGTCAAAATGAATAGAAAAGTTGCCTTTCTGTTAGGGCTGGAGTTCTCACTTCTGTTATGACTGTCTTCAAGATAGTGTAGCTTTTTGTACAGTAAGCAACTCAATGATCAGACTAAAATTCAGCAAACCACTTTGGAATTACAGGATCTCATTATGCACTCTAGTGTCATTATTGTAGAATTGGATCAGGGTTTTGTTTTTCCCTTGGTAGATTTTACATGAGTAAATTGCATGTAATTTTGAATCCTATTAACTATACTAAAATAATAGTGTGACTACAGTCTTTTCTGCTTTGTTGCTCAGTTGAATTAAGAGGATTTATTATGTCTTGATATATACATCTGAGTAGTAATTAAGAGCTTAGTGCCATGAAGATCAGCCCAGTGTTGGAGTGTGTTGTACTGAGTCAACCACAAATCCTCCAGGAGCTGTAGGAAAATGTGGCCTCTGTTGAGCACATCCCCTAAGTTCATCTGTACAGTGCTCTGTCAGAAATAAGAACACATGGGAGGATAGAAGAACTGGACATACTTCCCCAACCTTGAGAATTTAGGCATGAGTTCAGGAGGGGACTCCTCAGCAATCTCTGGCTTGTGCATCCTGGCAGTGTGCTAACACAATCTAGGCATTTAACATCTCTTGTTAATAACATGGACAATGGTGGTCACACTCTAGAGTCTTGTCTGCAAATTGTCCCACTGTTTCATTCTTGGAACGGCTCCTGCAGTAGGGGATGAATTTGAGGGAGGGACAGTCAGAGGAGGTTGGACTGAGCAAGTCTCTTCAGTGTCTGAAGGTGCCATTTGGTGCCCAGGGTTAAACCCAAGTGGGCCTGCAGGTGTCCAGTGGAGGAGGAAAGAATCCCAAGAGCACTTCTGCTTTTTGCTCCACAGACGCTGGATCTGCAGCACTGAGTCAAAAGGGAGGTGCATTACCTAGGGCCTTATTATCACCAAGGGTAAAAAAATCGTACTGCTGTGTAATCATCACTGCTGTGTATAGCAATGTGCCTGAGAAAAATGTCTCCAGAGATGTTCCTTTGTGTCTTGTATACACCTCAACATGAGGAGGAGCTTTTTTACATTGAGGGTGGCAGAGCACTGGAACAGGCTGCCCAGGGAGATCATGGAGTCTCCCTCTCTGGAGACATTCCAAACCCCCTTGATGTGCTCCTGTGTCACCTGCTTTAGGTGACCCTGCCTTGGCAGTGGGGTTGGACTGGATGATCTCCAGAGATCCCTTTCAACCCTAAAAATTCTGTAATTCTGTGATTCTATGATCTTTTCTGGCTCTTGTAATTTTAGTCAATAATAGCTTGAGATAGATTCTTTTTAGTGGCTTCCTAATTGTGTCTCATTGCACTTCGAGCAGCATGGTGTTTTGTGTGTGTGCTCACATATGCAAGTTTGGTTTGGGTTCTGTTTTACTTTGCCCTACCTCTGGAAACATTCTAGGGTGAGTTGGACAGGGCTGTAAGCAACCTTATCAAGTGGGAGACCTCATTTCTCATTGTAGGAAGGTTGGACTAGATGACCTTTAAAGGTCCCATCCAACTCAAACTATTCTATGATTCTATGATTTAAATATGTTCTGTAATGACTAATAGCTAAAGCCCACTGTGTTAAATTATTTTTTTGGCACATCATTTTCTACTAGGTCATAGTAATATTAAGGCTACTAAGTTCTAATAAGTCACTTACATCTGTGTGAGTTTGCTTATAATTTTTGCTTATGTGTTTGCATTTGGAAACTGTGAATGGCTGTGCTTGTAAGCAGGTTTGGGTGTGAAAGGCACTGTTCTAGCTGCTGCTATTCCATTTAGCTCATGGACAGACAGGGATGACTGCAGGTACCTCAAGAGTAGTATAGAAACATCAGTTGTGGTGGGAGGGATGAACTGCCCAGATGCATTGCTTGTTTTGTGCATTCTTCCTGACATGTAAAAATTAAATCCTGGGAACATGACGACTATCACCTGGCACTCATAAGAATCAGGACACTGCTATTCCCACTCAGATGCAGCAAGTATACTGGATGCCAGATACACTAGAGTAGTCTAAGACTGACATCAAGATTAGAAGCAAATTTACTTGGCACAAGATGGGACACTAATGGTTTTTCAACTGCTTTTGTATGTTGTACATCCTGAAGATTATGAAATGGATAAAAACCTCTTCTGCAGAAAGATCTCCATACCATCATGTCCATGTTTGTGAACTCCTGCAGCCAGTCACTCCTCTAGGTACCCTCACAGCATAAGCAGTTGGAAACCTGGATAATCCACTCTGGAGATTACAAGAGCAGCTGGTTTTTAATTTCGTTTTTATACTCCCTCTAATGTCAGAAGCTGAATAAAGTTAAAGCCAAGCTAAATTCTTGATTCCAACCAGGAATAACAGGATAGCTCACAGAAATAAATAAGGAAAGTGCTAGATTCACCTTTTGTGATGTGAGTAGTAGAAGAGCCCAGTTTAACCAAACTGCCTTCCTGCCAAAAATATCTACTTTGCACCAGTCCTGATCAGTAAAAATAAAAAGAACCTTAATCTATTTAGCAGTGAAGAAATCTCAATCAAGAAAGTTTTGCTGCAGTGGTTAAATTGCTGCAGTAAAAGTCAAGTTATTTTAGCATTTTCAGTTTAATGCTGACACTATAAATCACTGACAGCCTCTTTCAGCAAAATGGCCCCCACCAGGAGCTGTGAGAAAAGAAAATGTTTGTCAGCTCTTCTCCACTGATAGAGACCTGGATTCTGTCCCACTGGATCCAGTGAGCAGGGCAGTTCTTAGCTTTAGGACTTTTAATATGTGGTAACGGATGCAGTTTTGCACCCAGAGTAGTGATGAATGGATGAATGAGCACCGATGCTCCAAACCCCTTCCAGGAGGATGATGCATCTTCACATACTACTTTTATCACCAATACATACTTGTTCTTGTGTCTCCTGTGAATAAAACTAAACACTGCATGAATCCGTTTAGGAATGCTAGACTGTTTCACCTTCCATGAAGGCTTGGTAGCTGAACTACTACCTACATGTTTCAGACATAGATGAAGACTGGCAGAGATAGTGCTTTGTAAATATGTTGTTTAGCTCTGTCTGTAGTTAGTGATCTCATTTTGGTGTGGCAGAACTACTGTTTGTGTACCCTACAGCAACTTCCCTTGAATTTAGAGGACAGACATGTGGCGACTAAATCATGAAGCATGTGGATTTTCATGTACCTTATCACTTTGGTTTGCATATATGGTTTTGTAGATTAACTCCTGTATCTCTGGTATGTGTTCTTTTGTGGAAACCATGAAGCAATCTTGTAAAAAGATGAATGAGGAATAAATGCTGATTTTGTTT